AGAAACTTATATTTTTCTTTTGGTTTTTAGGTAGACTAGTAGACCTTGACAAATATCAGTCTTCTCTCAGGCAACAGGTGTTTGCCTGCAATGACTTCCCCCAATTGTGAGAATTTCTTTAGAACAACTGAACACCGAGTCATAATTTGAAAAACAAAAAGTAATGTGAGTAAACACTTCTTATCTCAATTTCTCTAATAGTAAAAATTATTTATAAATATTTTATGAATATTTACATAAAAGGAAAAAACACGCAGATTACATAAAGAACATTTGAGTGCTTTTCAAGCATAAGTTGATGAGTATCAGCAGGAAAGGAACAAATCAATATTTTGGGGTCGGAAGTCAGTGGCTGAAGATGCGACATACAACACGTCAGTTTCCTGCAAGGTGAACAGTATAACTGTCAAAGGTTATTTTTCAATTTTAAAACCTATTTTTTCCCATTAAAATATCACTTGGTGTTCTATACAGTAATACTACATTTCTACTACATACTAATATTTCATTTGAGATATTTAAATTAATAGTTCAACATGCGTAATTGGACTGTAAATGCTTTGGACGGGATAAGACACTGCTAGAAAGATCAGCTTGGTTTTTTAGCCCGGTTTCTTTGGAAACCTAAAGGAGCAGGAAGAAAGTATACATGATAATATTCTGATAACACTCCAGGACTAAACAACACAATAGGCAGTGAAAAGCTTAGTAGCTGATTTCTGCATCTGTTTAGTATAAGGGGAGGTGAGATAACTGAAGCTGACTTAGATAGTTTGGTGGCTGTACTTTGATGTTTAGATGCCTTCAATAAAGTTAGGCTGATAAAGTTTCTAAGGATGATCACAAGAGCATTTTTTCCCCATGTGTTCTTAAACTTAAAAATGAGCAACAACATATCCATCCTTATGAAAACCCCTCTTTTTCTTGCCCAAGATACTACTATCTCTCATTGTGTTCAGGTTCTTGATCATAATTGTTATCATTGAATAGTCTTGATAGTTACCTCTACATCTCAATGTTTTTTGGGTTTTTTTGTTTGTTTGTTTTAAATTTAGCCAGATTGTGAGCAATAGAGATATTGTGTGAGGGAGAAGTCTGTAGTAAGATGGAGGCAATTAATGAAGTTTTAGATTACACTTTCCATATAAATGAACACTTTAATTTCATTTAAAAACTCAGTTTTCATGAGAGTAATATTTTAGGACAATAAATATCACCTTAATTCTGTAATATGTGAGAAGGCACTTCTGGAGGTATATTTTATAAAATATAAGGGCTTTGCTGGCCTAGAGTGGAAGTAATCTATGGCTTCTTTCTGTTCTACTTTAATGTAACTAGATTTCCAGGTCTAAGAAAAACTTTCTAATAACAGGTGAATTTTGCAATCCTTAAATAAAACAAGACTAGTTCCAGGTACATATATTAATATATATAACTCTATGCTAATATATGTAATTCAGATAATTTAAATAGCATTTATTTATTTTAATTCATTGGCAACCTTAATATATGCAATATTGTTGGATTGACATGTGATGCCAAAGAAGCTTAATTGACTGGTAATTTTACAGTACTGACATTTTTTATTACAGTGCTCTGGCATTGATTCATTGGCATAGATGCTTTATATATTGAAATTCTACACAGATTACATGCAAAATGTAGTTCTTTCATATGTCAATATGCTGCCTATGGCTGTAATTATACAATGTGCACACATCACATTAATAACATGGAGGAAATCTGCAGTACCAGAGGATTCTCTTGTGTTTGCTGTAATTGCTGCGATTAGTAAAAAGTAAAAAAGGCATTTGCTTAGTTCATCAAAAAGAGTTACAGAGTATTGAAAGAATAAGAGTTATATAGCTGCATTTTTCAGTATGATATGAAGTTCAGCAGGGGTCTTGCTAAAATTATGCCTATATCCACTCCCATTCTACTGTGCAAATAAAATTAAGACATTTGTCATGTTGGTAGAGCTCATGGGAATGTCCTTGTCATCTCAGAGTGAGTTCTCTAAAGAGGCTTTCTGTTCCTACATCATTTATTCACCAATCCTTTGAAACCCAGAAAATTGCAGAGTGGAGTTATCCATGGCATTTGTGAAGGGGCAACTTGCTTTTGTTCTTGCAGCAGGTGCAAGGATGGGAGAAACAAGATAAACTGCAGTAAGTCTTACTGGTTCACTTAAAACTAACTAAATAAAAATCCTATAACCAAAGAGGGCTTGCTGCATGCTCTACATCTAGTTATGCCATTTGAAAATTCCCTTCATTCCTTTTCACTGAGAATGGAAGTTAGGATATTACTATATGAGATTTCTAAATACAAACAATTGTATCTGTACGTGGATAAAATCTCATATGCAGTTGTCTGGGATCATGAATCCAATTGTGAAATAAAAATAAGAGTTTTATGAAGTTACCATTTTTATCACTCTTTATCTTATTTCTTCTGTTACATATTTTAACTGGGACATATACCTATGTCTGTCAACAACACTAGTTACTCTCTTGCAAGTACCCTACCATGGTAACTGTTCAAACTAATTAAAAAATATTATCTCTACAAATTCTTGAGCTCAGATCCTCGCTTGATCATGCTAAGGTACTTAAGTATCTTGTGTAGCGTAGAATCCAATAATAAATAATGGAATGGAATAATTAAAAAAAATGTTTAAGTTGCTTATTTAATCAGGAAGTTCATCATAACTCTGGTTTTGCCATATAGAGTCTGTTGTCATGTTAGAATGGTAAGCTACTTGAATTTGAGTTACCCCAACTCTCAAGTTCCTTTTAAAGTTCTTTCTTACATGCATATTATCATTCTACACTAAATGGAGGGTCTCTGGCTTAGCTTATAAGCGTTGTGCATGAACCTTTTTTCCCCTTTATTAAAATTCACCAAAAGACATGCAATAAAATTTGAGCCAAAATGGTAAAGTCTCATAACACGAGACCACATTAATAGTGATAGGTTCTTTGGGAGGTTTTAAGACATTAAATTGTACCAGTGATTTATTTCTGTGTGTGTATCTTAGCAAACTTCTAATGGGCATCTAACTACACAGCTCAGTTATTATTGCTGTCCCATTTTATCAGTTGGCACAGCTTCAGGATGGGTAGCTAGTAGGGAAATAATGCTGCTACTGAAGGGTTTGAAAAAAGGACTTAGCGACTGATGCCAGCAAATTACTTCAAAAGTAGTAATCCAAGTGCTGTGTAGACAGAATAATCCTTTGATGACAATGGCATGACTGAAATCACAGTGTCAAGGGTAAAAGCAGAAGCTGAGCCTTGAGTCACCATCAGTGATTTTGCCACCACTGAGAAATTCATTTCCAAGCCAGAGAAGGCTTGCAACACTTAGTCATAAAAAGGGAAGTGAATTCTCCTTTCTCCTTTGAATTAGCTGTAATAGCATGTATCAAATATTATCTGTTACATTTTAATGTACTGAATGTTTCCTTTTTTTACCATCAGTCTGCAATACAAATGTTAAAGTAAGTTGTAGCCATTATTATTATGTAAATCTCTCAGCAGCTTTCAATAGCTATAAATCATCAAATGTGTTTTTAAATGTTAGCTTCTCTCAGTAAACTGAAACAACTCTCCCGCTGTTTGTACACTTTAATTGGATGGAATTAATTCTTAGATTCAATTTCTAATTATATACAAACCACCAAATTATATACAGATAAACCTATTTTATGTTTATTTGGAGATTGAGCAATCCCCAGAATTAAATGCTGGAAGCTATTCTTCCATTATCTCAGGAATTATTTTTATTAGTGGAACAAATCTGGATCTGGTTAGCTTTTTTTGATAGAGCATATTATTTAATAGCCAGAGAACATGCATACTATCATGTGTTTCTTCTTTTCAGTCTTTCATATAAAAATATATATTTTTATATAAAAAATTCTGTAATTCTCATTTGCATAAAGCTGCATATTTAGTAATGTTAGTTTGATAAATATAGTTTGTAATTTATGAAGTAAAATAAAAGAATATTTAATCATAGGACTGATTTTTAAAATATTAAGCCTTGGTCACACGAGAATTTGTGCATACTTCTATGCAGTTGTACTTTGTATTTTTGAGAACATTTCTTTACATTTTTCTCTTCCTTCAAGCTGGTGTTAACAGTTTAATTTTTTTATAGTCAGTATCCATTGTCAGTTCTCAGTCTGTTCCCTTTGAGCTCACCATCTTATAGGAGATATTACACACAGTTTAGGACCCAGGATTTTTTTGTCAATCTAGATTTAAAGAGAATTATGGTGTTTCTATTACTACAGGCTTTCTGCTTCACAGGATTTGTTGAGCCAGCTGAGCTGATAGTCCTTCATAATATCACTGAAGGTTTGGAAGGTGGGAGAATGATTTGACTGGTGTACCTGTCATTGGGTAAATCTGTCAGCTGTGACAGTTTTCACTAACTTCCAGCGCAGTGATATTGTAATGGCATGGTGAGGTAAATGCCAACAGCATCCCTCTGGAAAATCTGAGTGGGTGAAAGAAATTTTTTTTCACCACAGTCTGAGGTATCCCAGTTTTTTAGTTAGTGCAAATGCAGCACAGAATAAGTGTTCTCTCCAGGCAGTGTTTTGCAAACAAAAAATATAATTTTTCTATGGAGGTGCTTGAAAAGATTTCTGTTCTACTCTGTTCTTGTATTTTCGAAAAGTAGTAATAGTTTAATAAAAAAAGAAATTTGGGGTTGTTGTAGATTTGATCAGATAATTTAGTAGTGTAGAGAACAGTTGAGTGCTTGCATGTATTATCCGCCGTGATGAAATACATTCTTTCATAATTTTGTACATCTTGCACTGCTAAAATACTGTTTACATAAAATGATAACTACTAAAATATGTGAAATGCCTTCAACAATGCGATGCTTAGAACTTGCCAAGAAGAACATGTACTAATTCCTATCCACCTCCATTGTTACCTTAAGAGCAGCTCTCTCCATAGCAACTGAAAACTTTTCAAGGCAGCAATAAACTAATCCTCTCCAACTTCCAGAGCACCATCAAGGAATTTTAAAAACATTGGACTTCCAGCAGCTAAATACTTCTCAGGATTCAGAAGGCCACAAAGCTAGATACACCAGCATTCTTTTTCCCTTCAGAAGGTAAGAAAATAACATTTAGAAATAAATGCTTGTAACATCCTTGTAACAATGTTACATATTCCTAACTGCTAACAGTAAAATATATCTAAAGACCAAAGGATTTCCTAACATTTAACCTTTATCTGAGTGAATGCCCATTTGAATTCAGTCGTTCTTTTTCATTTTAAATACTTTGTTAGCAGGGGTTCCTTAAAAATAAGACGCATGTCTTATGTTGCAGATAGAAGAAGCTGAATGTATGTGTAGCTGTTTAGCACATGTGCATTATTATCTGGGTGTGCATGTCACTGCCAGCATATGCCCATCAATAAAATCAAAACCTCTGTGGAAAACAGAGGTGAAACTCATTTTTCTTGTGATTAGCTACTGAGATAGATTAGTGTTAAAGCAGAGGTGGTGGTTTATCAGGAAGGATAGTGACAAGACAGATTTATAGCACAAAAATGTCTTTTGTACCTAGAGTTAACAAGTTAAACTTGTTGCTTGGTGTGTGTTTGTCTTGTTTACTCACTGAGTTCTTTGAGTGAAACTAAGACCTCAGCTTTGTAACTCTTTCATCTGATCATAAAACATGACTAATTTTTAAGTATGTCCTGTTCATTCTTGTTTTGTGCTGTATAGCTGGAGTTTAGTAACATTGGTAAAGTGTTTTGAAAATATAACCTGCTCTCTATCATTGCTGTATAACATAATTACTGCACATTCATATCAGTATTACACTAGTAATATTTATTTACAGCTATTTTTGCTACTAGAAACCTGTTTCATAATGGAATGAAAGTGAAAGCAATGGTATTTTCCTGTTCTTACCAAAAGGAATTATTAGTGAATACAGTAACATAACACTAAAGTGAAAGAAATACACTTTATTTTTAAGAGGAGGGAAGGGCACTTTCAGACGACCTCTTGTTGGTAATTCTACAGAAGTTTTAAGGCCATGGTTGTCTTAGTTTCCTGCTGTTCCGTGCTGTAAAGCCCTTACAGGCTCCCTGTTGTTCAAAAACAGCTTGTCACTGCAAATCAGCTTAGCCGACCAATTAATAAATCCTTTCAAACATATTGCATTCACACTAATTAAGGGGTTGGGGTTTCTTTTTCCCCTTTACCATTCAGATTCCTCAGGTTTCCAGTTTAAGCTCTGAAGTGCAAACAACAATCCAACATTCAGTGCAGATCCCTGACTGCAAGAAGAGGAGATGTGTTTTCTGACCAAGCATTCAGCTCTTGGGGTGGTATGTTCTGCTTTCATATTCAGCGTGCTCATTGCTGAAGGACAGCCTGGGGAAGAGCATGGGCAGGATGGCAGCTATGCTCCCAGCAGAGGCTATCTGATGGAAGTTTTACGCGTTCTTTCAGCTGAAAACACTGAGCTCCACATGAACCATTCACGAGAACTGGTCAAAATGTTACTGGAGAGAGCTGAATGCCCACAGCGGATTTATGGCATGCAAGAGGATTGTAATATGGTTAGTGCTTCAATTAATGAAGGATATCTTTACAGCATCGTCAGTGAGTTCTAACATTATTTATTAGAGTGTTACTGTCCTGAATACAGAACCTAAACATGTAAAAATCTTGTTGTTGCAGAAAAAAAAAATGTCCCTGCTTTTTTAATTTTGAATTATTATTTATTGCTTAAGCTCATGAAGAGATATTCCAAACATGACATGCATTCCTTAAAAATGCCAAGCTTCAGTCACATAACACTAATAATTTTCCTTTAGAAGTTGTTAAATGTTTGTTTTCCAACCAAAATTTTTCTACTTAAATCTGATCTAACAATAAAGCATGAGTTTGAATTTTAGGCTCAAGATTTCCACTGTGGAAAGGCACAGTTAAACACTGGGGACCAGTTCTGCTTTTTTTTTTGCTTTTACTTCATAAAAATAAAACCCAGACAGGATTGTCTCAGATTTATGTACCACCTCACTGAATCATTCAAGATTTAGAGGAGGGTTTTGGTAAGCAGTTCAGGTCAAGGAAAATCAAAGGCAGAACAATGAATCTACAAATCCAAATTGAAACTGGAAATAGTCCAGGGTACAGTTTCACAGAAGGATTGGTTGTCTAGTTGAGTTGAGAATATTTGCAGAACTGATTCATGATTCAATGAAGAAAGGACAGACACAGTGCTAAGTGGGCAATTCGCTGAAAAGGACGACAAAGGGCTTGGTCAGTCTTGGCTTTCAATGACATTATTCTGGCTCTGGCACCGTTGTTCAGTGACCTACATAGAGCAGAGTCTCACTTTATACCACAATAATGAGGGTGGTCATAAAGGTGAAGGCTTTCATGAGGTACTATTCTCGGCAATCTGCCAAACCAATGAATTGGCGATCTTTTTATCCTATGCAGTAGACAGCTACTTACTTAATTGACCCTTTCAATAAATGCTCCCATTTCTCATATGAACCCAAATGCGAAATTTTGTACATAAGTAATGTAGATGCCTAAATGGACATATATTTTTTATGAAGGAGATTATGCACATATGGGCAACAGATGTGTATCAGATATAGACCCAGATCAAAAGCTGAGAATGTGTTAAACATGGGTCCTCCTAAATTTCACAAAACAGGGTTGTAGGTTTTTTTGTTCTCTTTGTTCTTCTTCTCTTGCTTGGCATATTTTTTCCATATGTATTTGCGCTGTATTTGTGGAGAGTCTTCCCACTATGACCTTGGATAGAAGAAAACTAAGGGAAACTTAGCTGGGACTTTGGTCAGTGTGGCCGCTCTCTTCAGGCTTCATCTTGGAAATTTCCCGTGGGAAGAATTTGAGGACTTTCACCATATCCAGTGCTCCTCGGTGTTGGCTGAGTCAGAAACACTGCACACATCCTGTACTGCCAGTGTTTCTGTGCCAGTGCCACAGGAATACAGTTGTCTATAGGAAATCCATGAGAGAGACGTGGCATCTTCAGTCACATGGAGCCCACATGGCACTGTGCTTAAATCTTCCATGATGATTTAACAAGATTTGGTAAACCAAGACAGCAAAAACTCTGCAAGAAGTGCTATCCTTCAAGATCATCAAAATTTGAAACAGAATGCCCCACCTTAACTTGGTATTTTTTTTCTCATACTTTTTGGGAATCACTAATTGATTTCAGATTCAACTTTCTCTTCTAAATCCAGGATTCTGTTTATACTATGACTTTGTTTTCAAAATTTTTTAACTATTATTTTTAATGATGTCTCTAATGGGCATTTAAAAGCAGTGAAAGTTTAACACTCTTTTTAGACTTCTTTTGGTTTGTTTTTACATACTGGACCCAAGACTCTTTGGCCAGGAGCTGGCAGCTATTGAGTGGCATCTGACACTTCTTTATCTCCTAAGCACACAGAAGTTACATATTTCTTGCATTGGTAAGACAATTTTTTCTGAACTTCTGGCCCCTTAAACAAAAGAAACTCAGAGTTCACTGCCCACGTTCTGTGCTTCTCTTTTATAGCAAATAAGAATTTCTAAATCAAGGACATGCAGATGTTTTTCCTCTAAAATATTAGTAGCAGAAAAAACCCAACAAAACCAAACCATTGATGAATCAATTTTTATCCTCTTAATATCTCTTCAGGAGTCACTCTCCACGGCTAGGCATATACTGTGGAGTAACTGCATCTTTTACAATGCACCTGCTTCCTTCCAATTAGCAATTTTCTTTTTAGTCATCTTCCTTGCAAGAGCAAACAATGGCTTCACTGATTACAATTTATCCTCACTGGATTTTGAAATCTTACAGAAATATTTGAAAATCTTCCACTACATGCAGTGTGCTTATTGTACTGAGTGTTCATAAAGGCTGGTTGACTAACTTGAGGTCTTTGGGACAGAAAATAGAACAGCCATATTCCTCCTAGCCCAAATACTAATTCTCAGAGAAATGTGTTAGAAAAAGTTAGACTTACAGACCTTGATAGGCAATGTAAACAGGACACAGCAGAGTATACTGCAATCTACTTAATTTATGAGTATAAATAGTTAATTTAGATATTAATATCCACAGGGTTTTTCTTGGGATTTTTTTTAGAATCAGTATTTTGAGAATTTTTGTTAGAATTATTTATATTAAAAAGTAGCAGTTCTCTCAGTCCCTCCAAGGAACACTGGATTCTGAACACACCATTGACCCAGCTTCAGTGCAGAAAAATGAATTAACATATAGGGTGAGCCACACTGACCAACATATCATGCTGGTAGCCACAAACAATTTATTCTGAAAAACTAGACTCTGTATGTATGCATGAATTTATTAGAGTACAGTGTTGTTCCTTCAATGGTACCTTCATATGTTGTAGTTTCTTCCCTGAAATGTACAGTTCAGCTACTCTACTGTAATGGTTGAGATTAGCTGACACACCTATATCATGCTTGGAAAGGAGTCTGTTGGAAAAAAGCAGATAAACAGTGAATGACATTAATTACAGGATCTCTTCAAGGAAGATTCTTTATTCTGGAGTTCAGTATCTTATTTCTCATAGCCTAACATAGACCTCTATTAGTCTTCTTGTCTAATTTTAAAGACTAACTTGTTTTTGAGCCGGCAAAAGTTTCTGGAAACTGTCTTTGTATAAAAAAAATTAGGTTTATGTAGACATATGTAAATATACATATGTATATATACATGTATTAAAAAATCTGTGCTCAGACAGAAAGTCTGGACAGGGTGAGTACATAATCTCAGTCCCTTTTGAAATGTATTTGAAGGACTAAATGGTGTTGAGACCTTGTGCTGACTCTCTGCACTGTATTGCATTGTTGCAGTTAACAGAATTCATTAAGAAAAACATAAAAATAGCTGTGTGATTACAGGGTCAATTAATTCTTTCAACAGTGCATCAAATATGATGTAACTTCTGTTTACATACCCTGAGTTAACTATGGTTTTTATCTTACGACGTAGAATGCACAGATGAAAATATGAATAGCCTTACCTAATAACCCTTGTCTAATATATTTATAACAAGAAGTATAATCTTTTGAAGCCAGTGGAAGGCTTTTAATCTCTACAATGATTGATCAGAGTTAGTCCTAATTTGTAGTGAGTCTTAAATCATCAAATCATTGAATCACAGAGTACACTCATAGAATGATTTCTGTTGGAAGAGACCTCAACCCCCCCTGCCATGACTAGGAGCACCTTCCGCTGGACCAGGTTGCTCAAAGCCCCATCTCTGGGATATTTCTTAAAAACAAAAGTGGCACTGGACAAAAAAACAGAGCGTGATCTTGAGGCCACAGAACTGCAATGAATTACCTGTACCTTCTTCCTGCCATTCCATCAGCCTGCATCTGTGTCGTTGAATATAAAAGTTGATTTCTCCTTCTGTCCTTCCTAATTGTATTTGCAGATGCCTGGCAGTGTGTTACTTGAGTTGAATTTCTATTTATTTTTATTTCTTCACAGTGCCTTGAACCAGATGCTTTGTTGCTAGTAGCTGGAGGAGATTTAGAAGACCATCTCAGTGAAGAAGTATTTGAGAGAATTTCTCTTATTCTTCTCTACTACATTCTTCATCGCAGAGATGTATGTTCTCCAGAACTCAGCTTGAATAATAAGGATTATAAATTTTACCTGCAGAGTATGCTTAGTTTAAGACATGATGAAGACTGTTATTATTTTTCACGGAATGAAACTGAAGATATTTTAACTGCAGTAAGGCAACATTTTAAAACTTCTGAAACCGAGGTAAAGAAAACATAAGTAAATATAGCTTCATATTTACTACTGATATAATGCCTATATGTTAGTGCAGACATTGTGTCAGTATCATGGTCTGCCAGAAAACCATAAATAACAGTGTGAGAGCACAGGCTGAACACTGGTGTTTTGCTATACATGCTGTTTAATGATAGCCTTTTCCTTGAGTTGCTTTTGGCTACCTAGCACTTCCACAGGGTCTGCTGAGACATGACTAGGGAGATACTGCATATCAGGGCCCATTCTCAATAGGTAATTTAGATGCAGTTGACCAGCTTAAAGCAGATGGAAAAGAGCATAGCTGTGTAGATGCAAGATCTTGCACTTGGCTCCAAGGACAGAAAATACTTTCTCATCTCTTAGTATTTTATAGTGTATATATATATAAATATGTATACACTAACAGTGATTGTATTTAAATGGTATAAAGCAGAATAGCTCCACAACTGATCTGGCTGTACAGGAGAAGTAATGAATCATTATGCTATGATGAAATCCTTGCCAGGTTCTACACTTCCATGTCCATCCAAAGCAGGATGGAATAAGGAATCTATCCAAATGATGGTTTCCTTCAGTTGGAACACATACATTTGTGACTAATTACCTACCAGCACAGATATACCTTGTAGAAAGATTGATACAGATAAGCTTAAAGTTAAAAAAAAAAAAGCATATTGAGTATTTTCAGCTAAGATCATCATTACTAGAGTCTGGAAACATGCAGTGAGTTTTCTTATTGCTGTTTATTGTTCCTTACCTCAAGTATTATTCCTTACGTCTACAATAATAGAATAATATTTTAGAGTTCAAAATCTAAGAAAAAATGTTTTCCTTGTAATGGGCAATAAAATAGCTTTTTGTCTGTTAAGATAACTCCTGAAGTGCAGATTGACCTCCTGTTTGTAGCCCCTTAGATCTGTTCATAATGTTAAGTTAAATTTCGTATACTGCAAAGCTTGAATTTGCCCTTTTCTTTTTCATATAATTGGATTTTAATTTACATTATACTGTAGTAGAGTTTTCTGCACAAACAGAAGATGGGTNGGAGAGCTGGCTGTGTCCAGAATATCGAGGGCCTCCAGTTCCTCTTTCTGTCTTCTTTATGTAAACATTTCCCATCATAAATTATTCATTGACCAGTACTTTTGTTTTTGAGTCTTGGTGAACGTGCTGATTTCCAAGAACTCCAATAGTATCTGAGCAACTGTAAAGAGGCATCAGTGTGTATTTGGAATGTCAAGATAGAATAACAACCCAGAAAGTGCTTTACTGTGGATTCTGTTTGCTTATGCTGGCAGTATAATCAGTTGTCAAGCCTGTCCAGTAACTGAAACTTCACCCCTCACTGACCTGAGGGAAAAGAGGGTTTTTTATGAAAGGTACTCAAAACATGATAGCATAATACATAGAATCACAACACCTGAATTATGAAAAAGGACCAATGATGCAAGGTAGTAATAGAAGAAAAGAATTTTTAGTGACTATATGTTTTGGTTTCACAGAAAATATCCTCTTCTCATTCATAGCACCTAATATCTTATTTGAAATGAGGGATTAAATGTTGGGTTGGGGAAATTTTGATGTGTAATGAACGAACAGGAAAAGAAATGCCAGCCAACATCCTCTCTGCAGTGTTTATGCCCTACAGACAGAGAGATGAGTATGAATAAAATAAACGACTGCTGTACTTGCTCATCTAGTAGTCTTTTTAGTTTAGTTAATATGAGTTAGAAAAAAATATTTTTTGCCTTTGTTGTATTGCTTTTGTATTCTTTCAAACCCTAATGTGTGAAGTAAGAAAGTAAGTAAGAAGAAAGGCAAAAATGGAAGAAAACAGGGATGAGTTTCCAGGTAATGGAGACAGACCTGCAGACATCCACACACATGGTTGTACACCACTGACTATTGTTCCTTTTTGGTCACCCAGAAGAGAAGTCACTATTTATTTGCAAAATTATATCTTTCCATATTGTCCCCAGATAACTACTCCATAACAAAATATTGTTTCCATGTAAAATATAGGGAACTAAAATCATTTAGAGAATTCTCACTGAAGTTTAAGATGAAGAATTAAAATCTATATTATTTAAGTCAATTACCTGTGCCTTAATGAAAATTCCTCCCTTTTCTGCCACTTTCTGGAAGTAGATGTAGATGCAATTGAGGACACTGGAATAATAGAAATGGCATGAAAATAACACTAAGTGAAAATAACACTAACCACAAATAACCAGAATGAAGAACTGTACTTCTTCCCCACTAGACACAGAATAAAAGTTCAGGATTTTTAATTCTATGTCTGTTTTCATGAAAATGTCCTTTGTTTCACAGTCCTGTTGTCAATTACAACTTCAATCTTAATTTTTTCTACTCTGACTGTCTGTGAAAATGTTCTTCCCAGTTTCTCTTCTTGTCACTCCGATTATTTAAATGAAGGTGACCAGGGCTGTCTTCATGCTGTTTTCTCCTGATTTCAGTGTGTTGATGTGAGCACTCTGGAGAAAAATGCTGATATAACGGACAGAGATGGTGCCGATGAAAACACTCTTCCACGCCTGGCTGCTTTAATCATTACTCTGGCTCTCCAGGGAGTCTGCATGGGGAAAGCAAGTTTGCCTTCCCCAGAATTCTTTATAAAATATATCTTCAGTTCTCTAAACAGTACCACTGAGCTCCAAGTGACAGGTAAGCTATTTATTAATCTCTCGTTGCCTTTTGCAACACACATTTTGTGTAAACTATCTTTAAGTGCCTAAATGACTTTTTTGCACTTCATTTTAGGTCCTCATTTTAAAGTTGTTAAGTAGTCTCTTCTAAATTTAAAAACAAGGTTGGAAAAGAACCTCCTTATTTTGATAATTCTCAGAGAGGTATAAAGCAAATTTCTACTGAGATTATTACATTTTATTCAACAATATTTTATAACTGAATTGCACAGCACCGTCTGAACTACCCAAGAGAGTTCTGAGGGTGGCAATCTAGCTGTGAGGGCAGAGTTCACTGGGGCTTCACTTACATTAATTCTTTATGCAGATCTTCATACATTGCAGGACTCTTTTAGGGATAGATGGGATAATTCTTGTATGGTAGCCAGATTAGATGTTTTAGTAACTCACACCTCAGTGGAGATATACAGATCTGTTTGCTTAAGTAGCCAAAAAAAAGTAGTCAAACTTCTTATCAGAAGCCTTTTTGTAAGATTTACTGTTAAGAGTATACCATTTATATTTTCTGATTAGCAACATTAAAGGATTATCACATAGAAACTTTCTTATTCTCATTGACCTAAGCTCCTTTGAAATCAGTTTGTGGGCTGCTTTCATTTCTAGTGGACAAACTAAGGTTTACAGAAACTATCACTATGGTTTTATTTAAAAATGAGGGGGTAAGGAAGGTGATAAGTAAGATAGGATAAGGTACGCCCCCTCAAATAACCAAGAATTTCATCACCAGAAGCACCCCTTGCACTTAAGCTATGTCATGGCGTACATCCCTGCATTATCTCAGGTTTGGATTAGGGATCCTGACCCCCTCCTTCCTATTCCAGTGCTATGAGCAGGCATGCTTCTTGATTAAGCAAAGAGTGAAAATCTGCTGTCCTGTGTTCCACTTCTGAAATGCAAGAGCAGCACAGTGTCCTGAAGATTGATTTCAGGACACCCTATGAAGGATCTGTCTTCTGATCTGAATACCTGGCCATGATGACTTAGTGTGGAGTTCCATTTACACAGGAAAATTTTAAGAACAGTGAAGTTCTTTAGCAATAACTAGATAACTTTGTAAGAGATTGATGATTAAATGAAAGATGAATTACCTTTCAGTCCCATCTGTTTTCTTCTGAGACAGTCATAGGCAAAACATCTGAGTGGGGCATGTAAAACAAGAAAGGCTGAGTATCTAGGTGTCTTGAACTTCTAGAGTTGTTAAGTATAAATTGCCTCCAGTACCAAACTGAGAAAAGAGTATTAAATGAGGAATAGAATTAATGTTATAACTAACAAAATTTTAATAATTATTTTTGGTTTTATCTTTTAAATGTGTGTTTTCCCATGGTAACGTATCTGTTTTCTAATGAATTACTAGAACTAGAACAACTACTAAATGTGCTTACAGCCAAAAAGACCTGCACTGTAAATGGACAATTCCACAGTCACAAAAGAAGACGTTACAGTATGGCAATCAGAGATACTGGAAGAAAAAATAGTCCATTCAAAGGAAACCATACAAAAGGAGACTCTCTGAAAGGCTATTTTGAAGATCGTGAAAGGAACACAGATTGGGATCAGGTTAATTTGTTTTTCTGTTATTATAGTGTTGGTCACAGAATTTCAGTGACAAAAGTTCGAATTGTTTTGCAAACAGTACATAACTTCTGAGGTAAAATGTATTAGTTTCAAAAAGTCATGTTGATACTGATGGAAATATATTTTTATATAGTTATATTTGTTTAAATATTAATTGGGGAAAGAACTTTATGGATGTTTACCATGTGATTAATGTAGCTGGGAAGGGCTAACAGAATAGTTACAGATGACTGTAGTAATATGACTGAAGTGTTTTCACACAGTTATTAGAGATTTCTTGTGCTCTTATGTCATAGAGCTTCTAGGCCCCCTTAAATGACCTGGTAGAAAGAAGGGTTGTTTTGTACTAAGGAAAAAAAAGTAAATTATTTCTATGAAAGTTACTTTTAAAAGGCTTCTGTAAACTGAAGATTGGGCATTTCCAAACTCTTTTAATAGCTGTCTATGGAATCCAGAAGGTTTCTTTAGAAAGTAGAGAGTCTGTAAGACAGAGTCCTAGCTACTACCCAGTATCCTCTTTGAGGACTTTGAAGGCTCAGTGCAGGTGAATTTATCCTTATCCTAAGAATTTAAAAATAAATGGTATATATTTTGGTGTATACATTTGAAATATATACTTCAAAGGACACATTTCTATTTTTTAAATTTTTTTACAATTTACATTAACTCAGTGACAATGTTTATTCTCCATTTAGGAGAATGAGTGATGTGCAATTGACTTTTGCTGTGTGGTCATTATATGATGTGGAACTGAGACAAATTGCATCTGGTTAAATGCCATTCAGAGAGATATTTATCTGTGTAATTTTATGGAATGTGAAATGCATACTCTATCAATAGATTTCTTTATTTCCTGCTGCCCACAAAAAAGAATCATGCTGATCATCATGATGAGGCTTTTAATGAGGTCTCAAAATAACTTTAAATTAAGGTCATTTTAAATATGTTTCATATAAATTTTAAACTAGGAAGGACAGAAATCAGTTGTGACACTGTCTGTAAAAGAAGAAAAATTGTTCTCCAGTAATAGAAGAATTTATGAACCTCAGTATTTGATTTCTTGAACTTCTGATACTGACTGTAGCTCAAAAGATAAGTATCTAGGGGAGTTATCTGAGCAGTCAACTGAGAGCCAAGTATTCTGTATATATGAAAAAAAAATCACTAAGAAACATCTGGAGAGAACATAATTGCTCTTCTGTATTAATTCCTAGATTCTCTGGGGTTTTTTTCCATTCCTCTTCTTTCTAACTATATCTATTTTCCTTGACATATTTCATTAGAACTCTTCGTTTCACTGTTGTGTTGCTAATTTTGTCCCATGTTTTCTGCACTTATCATAGTAATTGTGCTCCATTAGTGACAGATTCTGCTACATACAAGGAATTTGCTTTTTTATGGTTTGTGTTTGCTAACTACATTAAGATCTGTAATCTAATTTTTAGATAGGAATCATTATTTGAAACATTATCACAGGAAAAATGTCATTGCTTTCTTTTTAAGTCGTCATTGTCTCTACATTTAACAAATGTGTATAACACAAGAAAGTAGCAGGTGATCTAATAAGACAAATGATCTTAAGTTCCATTAAACTGTGTCACAATATCTGTATTCCTTTACTATTTCTCATTAAACAAACATGGATTTTGCAAACCAAAATCATTCATCCATTCAGTTTTTCACATGAAAATATGCAAATTTTATTTACTTGTTTCTTCAGTACCATCCTGCAGGAGTACGCACATAGTTGCTTTACTAATGGAGAGTTAGTGCTCTGCCTCTCTATGTTAGAAAGCTTAAAAGGCTGGGGCTTGCAAGTGATAATGAACGGTGCTGCATCCAGTTGGCAGCTGGTCACAAGTGGTGTCCCCCAGGGACAATTCATGCAGCCCAGTGTGTAGTTAGTGGTCATTACCACCAGGGCACACTGGTGGCTCATGTTCAAGCCATCTGTCAGAACCCACCCCAAGGGCTTTTTCTACAAACCTACCTTCCTTCTGGTCAGTTTTCCCCAGCCTTCATTGATGCATGGGGTTATTCCGTTTGAAGCACAATAAATTTGTCTTGGCTGATCTTCATGAAGGTCTTGTCAGCCCGTTTCTTTGGCTTGTCAAGAACCCTCTAAACAGCAGCCATGCCAGTCAGCATATAACTAGTTGTCCAGTTGGATTTCAGCTGTCGGTGCTATCTGGTGCACTCTGCTCCATCACTCAACTTGTTAGTGAAGGTGTTAAATAATATCATTCCTACTGTGACTGGTCAGCAATGCTGCTCATAATCAACCAACAGCTTGATAACCACCAGCTTGATACCAGATGTTGATGTTCCCTACTTCTAGCATCAAAACTTCTGCCTAGAATAGGCAAAATTAAGGTCTTTTCCAATATGGTAGCTCCTTCATTGTCTTCATGCTCTCCTTTGGCTTGAAGGAAGAACACGATAGGTCCAGGTGACAAAATCATCTGTTATCTTGAAGACTTTAATGTGGTTTTCAGAATAAATTTATCAGTGCTCGATTAATTCAGCTTCTTAATGAACTTTAAGGCATATTTTACTTCACTAATGGATCAGCAAAGGAAGGAAGGTGTTGGGTTTTAATTGGTTATTTAAAAGTAACTATATTTAACAACTTTTTTTTTTAAATTAATTTAAATAACAATTTTATTTCAAAAGAAGCGTAAGCTTCAGTGATTATAAAAAAGTATTTAGGAATCCCTTGATTCTCAGATGTAGACCAATTTAAATGAAAGAAAAAATATTTTTCTAAATTGAATCACAGCTCATCAGATGAGATTAAGAAATGAAGATTATTCCTTTAAGTAAGATAACATATTTGATCTGGACTCCTCTAAAAGCGTTTACAGAAATTTCCACTAGAAGTGTGTTCTAGTGCTAACTGGTCATGTTTTTACTAGAAGTCTTATCCTGGAGGTGGAAAAGCAATTCTTCATGAAAATTTGTCGAAATATAAAGGTTCCCAAGAAAAAGATCCTTCTTTTGACAAAGAGATATTCCAAACAAGAACAAAAAGCAGCTGAAATTCTGAAATACCTCTAATAATACAATTAGTAAACAGTCTTTAGACCAAATTTAGACTATGTAACATCTAGTTTGCTGACCTTAGAGTGACATACCATTATTTAAAGAATTAAAAATCTCCAATGTATTTCCATATCTTACTGAAGATCCATCACAAGAACAAATCTAAGTATTGCTTTTGATGTAGTATCTTATATTAATAGCACTATTATTGCAAACAATGAAGTTTTACATTAATGACTAAGAATATGATTTGTGTTAACATTAAAAAGAGGGTGGTGGGGCACTGGAACAGGCTCCCCAGGGAAGTGGTCACAGCACCAAGCCTGACAGAGTTCAAGAAGTGTTTGAATGATACTCTCAGGCACATGGTGTGACTCATGGGGATGATCCTGTGCAGGGCTAAGGGTTGGACTTAATGATCCTTGTGGGTCCCTTCCAACTCAGCATATTCTGTGATATTCTGTAAAATATTTTTCTTAGCACATATGACAATAAAAGGTTGAGAGAGATTATTTTGTCAGATCCTTATGATATTAACTAGCTTTCATAGATATTGTCCTGCTTCATTCCAAAGATTCTGGTCTTTCTGAAATATATAGTAGCATCAAGTTTAATTGGAAAAAAATGGAATTAATTGAAGTAATTAAACTAATTTAATCAAAAAAGAGTATATAAACCCTAAGTTTTTTCTAGGTTGTACCACCCTGTGTTCCTCTAAGATTCCATATTTAACCTCAACATTAAATGCAGGTACATGCAACATGTTCAGTAACTCTGTATACTCTTCTACAAAGGTTTGTTTCTCTGCCAATGAACTTGTGAAGATATTTTTGAAAAATGGTTCTTCCTCCATTTCCAAAGACCACTTCAAGCAAATCAGTCCAGCTATCATTCAACAACTTTTAAGTTGTTCATGTCAGCTTCCTGACTTCAAGCAGACAAGACTTCCGCCAACAACTGTAGAAAGTGAGTTATGTTGTTATTAACAAAGTATTGCTTAAATTTGGATAAAGAGGTGCAGGGACTTAACTTCTGGAGACATTTCATTCATTAATAAACCAAAACATGAGGAGATTTATGCACTCTGTAATTTATGCACTTCATAACTTCATAACATACATCTCAGATAGTAGTACTATATTGAAAAGTGAGGGGATTCAACTGTCTTAATTTTATATTAGATGGAATTCTATTTCATTATGTAAGGTTTTAAGCTTTATTCTCTCCATTTGGGGACTACTCGATGTTGGCAGCAAGTGGGCCATAACAGGTCCTCATCTGTAGGTTGCTGGGCAGTAAGGACTTGTTTTGTGAAATTTTTACCAGATTTATATTGGAAATGCTGCACTGCTTACACGTATAGCTTCAAGGTTACATTGCCTGGCATTTTATACCATGATGTGGCAAATGCTTGATATAGAGAAGTTCTGCATGAATGTTACTGGTTTTTCACATAGTTTACAGCAGAGAAGCTTTGAGAATGTTACTGTGGGGAGGAAAATATCCAAAAGAACAGTAACAGGGCAGCAGGACTTGTGTGATAGAGCTGGAATAAGAACTGAGTTAGAGTATAATCAGATTGTTTCCAGTCACAGTTGTAGCCTTCATATGTCACTTCTTCCAGTGATTTCTGCCCCATCTCTTCCGTTGATTCCACTTCTCCTGTAATCAACCCTCACTCTACCTTATAAAAAAAAATCTAAACCTGATATGACTTAAGGGCTTCTTACTGTGTTGTTATTTGATTTTTTTTTTTTTTTTTATTGTTATTAACTTTTAGAATACTCATTTATATTCAGATTCTGACTCTCTGCTGAAGGAGGAAACTTGTCAGGAAAAATTACCTCCAACTTATTTTTGTGGTTTTGTTTATTTGATTTTTTTTTTTTTTTTTTACTTTAAACCAAAAATATCTGGGAAGTGGTTATAAACCAAGGTGTGCTGGTGTATTACAGAGGACATTAATTTTGGTAGTCAGGAATGAACAAAAAGGAAAGCGTATCTAACCATAATCACCTGCATCTAGAGCAGCACTTTTTAGGCTACAAATCAATGTTTTCAATACCTACATTTTTTAGGAGCTATTAAACTTTCCCCATGGCCTGCTGGCCAACGATCCTTATGGAACAGCATATAAATTGAAAAAAAACGTGGAAGGACTGTCATGGATATTCCAATAATGGTTATAGGACAAAAAACCCATACAGAATAGGAAAAATCATTATGGTCTTCAACAGGCAGCAGTCCTTTCTAATGAATTCTCTTTTCTCATTACCTGAACACTTTGCAGTCTTTACTGCTTTGATCTTTTCTATGCTACAGAGATATGACCCTTTTTGAGATCGGGAATCAAGAGAAAAAGAAAGAAAAGAAAGGAATTTAATCAGGTCAAATGCAAGGTTGATGAAAAATTCACTGTTAAGTAGGATCCTTCCAAGTCTAAAGCCATCAGCCTAATCAATGATATTTTAGTGATCTCATAAATGTGAGAGATGAGAAAAACTGAACTATTCAAGTGCATAATGGAATTAATAAGACCCTTTTCTGCAGCCCTTTCTCTCTGCTTTTTGACAAAGGAAGGTTTTCGTGACCACAGGAACACTTCTGCTGTCTTGATACAGATAAAGAACTCCATGTTTGACCTATGTGTGACCTAGTGACCTGAGCATGGGCTCATTAATTTTATTCTCAGTTCTATTTTACTGACAGGCTGTGCTGTTTTGACAGTCACCAAGGCCTGACCTTCCATAAATATCTACTATACCCTGTATTTGGATTTGCAGTCTGTGAAATTTACTGTCTGATTTTATGAGGTGCTGAGCACTTGCAGTGCTTTTAAAGTGTGAAACATTAAGTGACAGTTCTGAATATTTTGGCATTAGTTCCTTTATGTGTGTTTCTCTTCACTGTTTTACCTCCATCATAAGATTTCGTACAGATTAATCAGAATTTATGTTGTGCAAAAGGCTGGAAATGTGAGTGGTGCGTAACTGAAGAATTATGAGTAACCTTCAAAAAAATCCCAGTAACCTCAGAAAAATAAGTTGGTGGTCCTGATGTGGTAACTAAAGGGATGCATGTCCACAGCAGATTTGTAAATGTAATTTGGACCAAAATGTTTATGCTTAGAACCTAAATTAGATCCCTACATCCATCTGAGGTTTTACACCTTGGTTTATTTACAAAAAAAATAGAGAGCAATAAAACCCAAGAGAAACAAGTGACGCACAACACAATTGTTCACCACCTGCTGATTGATGCCCAGCCCATCTGTGAGCAGCAATCATCGCCTCCCAGCCAAGTCTCCCAGTTTATATACTCGGCATGACATTCTGTGGTATGGAATAGCCCTTTGGCCAGTTCAGGTCAGCTGGCTGTGCTCCCCCCAGCTTCTTCTGCCTCTCCTCACTGGCAGAGCATGAGACACTGAAAAGTCCTTGACTTGAGGTAAGCACTATTTAGCAACAACCAAAACATGAATGTGTTATCAACATTATTCTCATACTGAATCTACAACACTGCACTCTACCAACTTCTAGGAAAATTAACTCAATCCCAGCTGAAATCAGACAGTGGAACAATGAATCACTTCTCCTGTGTGCTTGTGCATAGAGGTGTCAAAACACACCCTCAAAACCAATTACAAATACAAAAACAAACACTCAAACACAAATACAAATACTGGATGATTAAAGGCGCCCTTGTTTTGTTTCATTTGTTTTCCCCTACAGAATATGGTTACAGCACTGTTGCTGTTTTACTTATTACTATTGGATCTATGTTTGGTACAACTCTCATTTTATTTAACTCCTGTCAAGAAATCTATACACTCGTTTTACAGCTGTTTGTCGGTTTGGCTGTTGGAACCCTTTCTGGAGATGCATTGCTACATCTTATTCCTCAGGTAAGTAATAGACACTTCAGTGCTTTTAAAATGTTGAAACATATGCGTGTGTGCATGTACACAAAGAAAAGTTTTATTTAAACCCGGATAATGCTCATCTGTTTATAAATAAACTTCCCATTAAATCTACCCAGCACTCCAGTTACATTTGCACTCTGTAGTTCAGAGAGACGTTACAAGTAGTAAGAAGCTGAAATCTATGAATGATGAATTCAAAGAAAATAAGGCTCCTGTTTTCAAAACAAACTTTTCAGAAACCCCACAAGTCTTGTGCAAGGCAAGTTTCTAGATGTGTATTAATTTCTTTCATGAGGCATATTCTGTAACCGTCTCAAGAGAAATTTTTCAAGGGTTGTATGAGGCATCCACAGTCCCCTCCACATGTTTTTCCAGAGAATCAAGAGCTGTCAGCCTATAAGTGTAGTACAATTGGTGCTATGATGTTGTCCTAAATTCATGAAATAAATTTTAAGAACAGGATAGCATGCAAAACAGAACCAAATTTTCCATCGTGTATTCCTTTACTTTTGACTAAGTCTCCTCTGATATGACACAGATGTTATGAGTAGAATTGTAGCGGTTGTAGAAAGAGAGCTTCACAGCTTCACTTGAGATTCTGGTCAAAATATTCTTTGTACTCAATGCGTCATCTCTGGAAGCAAAACTGGGAGAATGATTTAAGTTCTCAGTGAACATCAGACAAATGCATTTATTTCAGAAACACCTCTGGAGTGTGAAAGTATTCTCTTTCACCAGTTTTAAGTGATGTATCCAGAGCCTTTAAAGACCTCACTTTCAGAGCAAAGGGAGGGCTACCGTGCTGTGCCACTGGGAAAAAATGGAAGTACACCCACCGGTAGAAATGGATTTATGCATTAGTTATGCATTAATAAATTATGTATTGTTTTCATAGAATCACAAAATAGTTAGGGTTGGAAGGGACCACTGTAGATCACCTAGTCCAGCCTCCTGCCAAGGCAGGGTCACCTAGAGCAGATGACACAGGATCGCATCCAAGTGGGTTTTAAATGTCTCCAGAGAGGGAGACTCCAGGACCTCCCCAGGCAGCCTGTTCCAGTGCTCTGCCACCTCAGTGTAAAGGAGTTCTTACTTGTGTTGATGTGGAGCTTCTTGTGTTTTAGTTTATGGCCATTACTCCTTGTCCTATTGCTGGGCACCACTGAAAAGAATCTGGCACTGTGTCTTGGCACCAGCCTTTGAGATATTTGTATGTATTGAGGAGATCCTCTCTTAGATCTAGAGCTAAGAGATCTAGATCCTTCTCTAGATTACAGAGGCCCAGCTCCCCCAGTCTCACCTCATAAGAGAGATGCTTCTGATCCCTTATCATCATTGTGGCCCTCTGCTGGACCCTCTCCAGTAGCTCCTTGTCTGTTTTCAATATGAAGCTTAAATATTAAGATGATGCAAGTAATTTTTATAGACTTTATAGACAATGTACTCCAAATGAGATATATATATATATAAATATATATACAAACACACACATACATAAAGGGCAATTTCATAAAATATAATGTTATTATGTTATTTCCACCACTGAGAGATTACGTATAGCAGAGTCTACTAATAATTAATTTCATTATCTATTATTCAGAGGATTAGCTCAAAACACAATTTAAATTTGAAAGAACTGAGGGAAGAGAATTTTGAGAATAAATTGAATTAGCACATTGTGGCTTGCTCTAGCAAAAATTAAAACATTGCCATGTCATTTTTTTTAACTCTATCTCTTTTATTTCAGACTCTTGGTTTACATAAACATGAAGCACAAGACATAGAACATTTCTATGAGGGAAAAGAATATATTTGGAAACTTTTGGGAATAATTGGAGGAATTCATGGTTTTTTTCTGATAGAAAAGTGTTTCTTTCTTTTGGTAACACCACGTGAACAGGTAAAGCTTTCTACAATTTATCCTTTAAAAATCTCTTTTGAGATTTTACAGTGCACAAAGTGTTAAAATGATTGTGGAAAATAAATATAATTTGTGTGAGTTAAATGAAGCATTGATAATTGCTTTCCTAAGTGCTCCTACCAGATTGACCTTCAATTTCTATTTTGCTTTGCTCTGTGGATTGTGCAATGCTACATGAATGTGTTCAATATATTTATAACTCAAGAAGGGAACAGTTGATCGAATATGTTCCATAAGCATGCATTTATGACTCACATAGGAGCAGGTGAAAAGTATGTATCCATGTGAAAGAGCAATGGCAGTTGTTTACTGTAGGCCCTGTTTGAAAAGGAGAAAGACATAGATGTAAGCATAAGATATTTTCAAGAATGATCTTGAAAATTTTAAAAATTTCCAAATTGTCTTTGATCTCAATGATTTGAAAATCTAATATGTACGTTGCAGTCAGTAGGGCCTAACCTCCTATATTAATATTATCTCCTTGCTCACTGACATGTTTATAGTAATTCTATTACTTTATTTCAGTGTTGATGGAGCCTAAAAATATGATTATGCACAAGGATATAATGTAACACAAAATATGATGGCTCATTAGGTTTCTCAGCATGAGACACAATCTTTATGTCGCTTAAGAGGCTAAACCTTTGCTTGTTCTGTTTTGCAGGGTGTGCAAAGAATGGCCTGATTTAGATATGCAGCAATGAGTCCCTATTCCCATTATCTTTGAGTCAGCCATAAGAATATTGTGTGAGATTAATAGAATGAGAATATTTTGATGCTGGTGATGTTTTATTTTTTTGGTAAAAAGAAGTCCTTTTTGTTACTTATTTGGGAGAAGGGCTTTATCACTATCCCACAATTTTTTTAACTTTTTCTACTGAGAACTAGATTAATTCTCAGAGTTAGTTTTTATATCCATCTCGGCTTCAAGTTTTAATTTGATTTTTAAAAAAAATTAAGTTGTATCACACCCATATGGTTGTCACTGGTTTATCTGATTCACTTTTCAGGGTTTTTTAAGAAAATAGGCATTAGGAAACAAGTGATGCCAGCCAACAATCTTTTAAAGTAGATTTCATTTTGAAGAAATTAATTCTTAAAAATGTTAAATTTTCACGAAAGGCTGAGAAATACTACACCTGTGTTCATGGGTTTCAGAACTAATTGCAAAGCATCTTCATTTAGCAGGGCCTTTCTTTAGTTAATGGGCACTGGGGACATTCCCATGATCTTCCAGTGGAATCTGAATTAAATGAACATTCAGGCAGAGGCAAATCTACTTCAACCATACAGTTGGTAGGTTACCAATATGACATACTTCCCTGATTTTATGTTCTTCTTTCTCTATTCCTCAAAAAAATGAACCAAATTAATGTAATAAATCAGTAATATTTTTCAGTTTATATTGATTTGGTGTTATTACATGACATGATTATTAGGAATCTCTAGATTTTGAAGTTTGTAATGAGCTTTTACAGAGATTTCAAGTGCAAATATTTTACAATAACTTTCCTTCAGCGTGTCTCAGATTGATATAACAATTCACCTCCTGCACTACATTTTGTTAATAAAATTCTTGAAGATTTTCCTCTTTCCTTCTTTCAAAAAATTGATTATATGTAAAGGCAGATTCTCCAGGGGAAAAATTTCATGATTTTCTACAGTGAGAGTTCAGTGCATAATTAATGAGCAGATTAAACCTTGGACTGTTCTTGAGCATTTTTCCACAGATTTTAAGGGTAGCGTAAGCAAGCTGGATATATGGGAATGGTACTTACTTATAAAAAGTTACATGGTTTTATATTGGCCTATAGATAGTATCCAGAGAGATAAATCCTTGCAAACTACATTGACTCATAACTCTTAACCTGTTTTTTCTTTTTTTTTGTTTCCAACAAGTCTTCTCAGTTTATATGCAGTACCTATGTACATAGGTTATTTAAATCAGTTTCTCCAGAGATCCATAATGTGAACTCCATTTTACTAATTTAGTTGTGATGGGCAAGAGCCTCATGAGTCACTGCTAATCTTTAAAACACAATTGGGAAACTCTCAATTGAAAACAGAGCAAACAGACGAGTGAAACATGTTTACTAATTTGTGAGCCACGTCATAGCTTCCTGTTTATGATAATGAATGATCATGTCATTCCACTCAGCTGCAAGATCCCCCCAAAGTTCTATATAGATCACATGAATTATCCTGGCTTAACTGGTTTGTACAAGAGCAGCCAATTTTTCAGAATCATGTGAGTAATACTAAGACAAACACTTGTTGACTAAGAAAAACTTATAAATCCTTCAGGTCAGTGATTAGTCTTGCAGTTTTGACTCAGAGTTCAAACAAGTGGCATGTGAATAAATATTATAGGAGAAGTGGAACAATTACTGGAATTCATATGACTAGCTGCAATCACAGGAATTCAAGACATTTATTTTTCCTTTAAAATGCAGAATTTGAAAAACATTCTTTCTCCTTCTCTCCTCATACTTCTACAGCACATATCCCACATCACAAGCAGGCTAATGCCAGCCAATTAATATATTCTATTTTCTACTCAACATACATCCCTGCTACAGTTTTTGGAGTGGTAGCTGCTGTCCCAACACCGAACTCTTGTGCTGTTGTTGACTCTTCACTGGCTACCATAATAGGTTTTCCCACTTTTTTGGGAAAAAAAGTAGTAATGATAAATTCAGTTTTTCTAGTTTCAAGCAAACAAGTTTTTTGACTTATCCCTCCCTCACATGAATTTCTAATAATTTCTCTAGTCAGAAAACAAAGCCCCAGGGAGGTAGGGAGAGTGAGAGATTGCTCATGTTCTCCCTTCTCTCCCCACAGTTGCAATATCTGTTAATTAAATGTTGGGGCAGATGCATCAAATTAACTCTCTAGGATAAGGATGAAGATACTGCCTCTTTCTTCACTTGAAATAAGGGTAAATTTCTCTCCTTGTAGTGAAGTCTACTCGTGTGCTGCTATGCCCAATCAGTGATGTCTAGTGCCAAGACAAAGCCCCAGATAAAAGCCAAGAGTCAGGGCACTGGAGGCTGCACCACACTGAAGAAAACCCCCTGTATTTTGAAAGGGGGTGAAACCTATCTATGATCATCTTTCTTAGTCTTGTGTTTTCACAGAGTAACTGTGAGGAATATGAATGCCAGAGATTCTACCTATTATTCCTTGGAAATCCTATGGACACCTTCTCCATCAGGAAACTACAGTTCTAGTCATGACAAAATCAAAGCATGTAATTTGAATTATAATCTCCTTTTTAGTCTTACATTTGGCTCAGATTTTTAGGTATTCAAGCAGAAATATGGTTTTCTTGGGCAACAACAGTGCTTGAATATCTTCCTACCTGAATTAGACTGTCACCTTTTCTGGGCAAGGGAGATTTCTTTCTCATGTGTTTCTGCAGTACCAATCACACTGCCAGTGGTCAATAAATTATTCTAATGATATCTGTGCAAATAACAATTGACTATCTTTTATTCAAATAGCTTGAACTTAGTTGACATTTTCCAGTATTTATAGCAGCAATTGGAAGAGCCCCTTAACACTGATCCATTATCTTTACTTTTAACTAGAGAAGCCCAGAAGATTCTGAATCTGCTGAAGTTCCTCCGGAGAGCAAGGCGATCAGCAAAAAAAGTTAGTATCAATAAAAAGACTAGACAAGTAACAGGAAAATCCTTCAGACCTAAGATGGAATTGAAAGTCTGAAGCTGGCTTAGCTCTGTGCTTGCTATGTGCTACGTCGCCACATCTGATGGCGCCTGGCTACATAATTTAATCTCTACTTAAAGACCTTCTCAGCTGCCAGCCCTGTAATTGTGAAGTTCGTTAGTCTTATACTGTCCTTGCTTTAGTGTTTGTTGTCTCACTGTTGCAATCTATTTTTCTAAAGCCTATTCTTAAAGGGAAACATTCAAAAATTAATACAAAACAGATTTTTGTAATTATAAACTTAGCTCAGGCTTATTTCTGAAGGTGGTGGAATGCTTGTTTTGTTGGCTCACTATACTAATATAATTCTGCTTCCTTCTTCTCTTACACAGTAAAGCTATAGCCTCTTTGAACCAGTAATGATTTATTACAGGTGTGAAATTACAGGATCCTGATGGCTCTCAGTTTTAGTATAATCTGTTTTCTTCAGACAATTTCAGATAATTCCTGTCTTCTGTGTTTGTTGCTGCTTAATAAAAAAAAAATAGGAAAATAGAGTATAAATCAGATTCTGCCTTTGACTGTACCTTGTGACCTTGGTAAATTCAGTAGAATTGCAGTCATTCACCTGAGGGAATAAGATTTTAATTGAAATCAGTTTATTTACTATAATCAACTCCCCTTAATTTTGTGATCTCAGATCTCAGATCATTAGTGTGATTTATTCAATGATGTCATTATCTTCTAGGTTTTTAATGTTCTCCTCTGTTCTTGTGGACTTAATTTCCATTTCTGAGGATTTTCATTTCTTCAGTCTCGAGTCTCCAGTAGTACACAATCCAGTGCCAGTTTGAGTGTGACTTCGTAGTTCATCTCTAGATATTTCCACTCAGTTCAATCATCATTATGTGCTAAGCACACACTAATTTCTAGTCATCTCAATGTTATTTGTTCTAAGTAACTAATTTTGTGATAGTTTCTCAATAATCTTTGTTTGGTATCATTTTATCTTGATACCTCAGTCTTACCTCCATATTAGAAATCAGTAAATGAAGTCTTAGTAGGAAAGGAGGGGCTATTTTGGGGTTTGGGGGTTGTTTTGTTTGGGTTTGGATTTTGTTTGTTTGGGTTTTTTTGTGAATACCTAATTTCAGCAGACACTGATCTCTTCTCTTTGGTGAGAAGTAATAAGACCTGAATGGCCTGAAGTTGTGTTAGGGGAGGTTTAGGTTGGATATTAGAAAAAGGTTCTTCACCCAAAGGGTGGCTGGGCACTGGAACAGGCTCCCCATAGAGGTGATCACAGCACCAAGCCTGACAGAGTTCAAGAAGCATTTGGACAATGCTCTCAGGCACATGGTGTGTCTCTTGGGAATGGTCCTGTGCAGGGCCAGGAGTGGGACACAAAGATCCTTGTGGGTCCCTCCCAACTCAGCATATTCTGTGATTCTGTGAAAAGTTTGTATTGTTAGAGTTCTTTTAAATGGCTCAGTGCATAAACATACCTGAGTACCTTGGTACTGAGCTAAACTTTTAGGTGCTTTTTCCCCAAAACTGAATGGAATCTGCAGCTTTAGGGCAGAAGCCTGGCATTTCGTCCACGGAGAGGCTTCACTGTAAATGTATGTCAAGTAGGACTGAAAAAGGAGTCAGTCACCTTGGACAGCCAGTGAGTGACTCAGAAAGCAAGAAGCTTTCTGAAGCGAAAAATGTCTCACAGGCCCCCTCCTCTTTTATCCACAATAATTCTGTCAATATCTGAAAAGACCAAACAGTAGCATTTTATATTTGGTATACTCAGTGACACTTTATCTTTACTAGAAATATTTTTTCAGTATGAGCATTGAAACATTGGAAAAAGATCTTTTTATGGATAAATGTTTGCTTTAAACTCTTTTTCAAAACTTTAAAAGTGTAATCTATGATTGAAGTCCTGCACCCATTAGTTTTGGGGTTTTTATGAAAATTATGGAACAGAATTTGCTATGAGTTCTGGTTCTCTATTTAAGCAAAAAAAAAAAAAGTATAAGATTTTTGAAGAAGAAGAGGCTTTGTAGAAATAGTTAAGATAATAAGTTTATAGTTAATAGTTTCTGTTGGAATATAATGCAGTGAGATAATTGCCAGTAACAAAGCTGCTTTAAAATAGGCTGAAAGTAAATTAAGATAAACATTCAGATTTGTTTATACATACATCTTCTTAACTTTCTGTCAAGTAAGTTCACGAAGCTTACATTTGCAATTGCACCATAATGTTAACCTGATCCCTATGTTACATTACACACAACATGCTGGAGTGAGTTCCAGTAATCATGGTATATCTTCTTCAACAATAAGATACTTGAACAAAACAGACTAATAAGATCTCAGGGCAGGCCACAATTTCGTCCTTACTAGTGCTTATTACAAATCACAAACTTAATGTAGCGCAATAATCTATTATTTCTATGTAATTCATGCTCTGCACTATTGATTATAAACTGCCCATAGTGTTTAGAAAGAACTGTACAAGCTGGGGACATCCACGTCCGGCTCTGTAAGCTGGCAGGAAAACCTAGCAAGCCTGCCAATTCCTCTGAACCCACAGAGCTCCCAGGCAACTAGGGAGGATTTTCTGAATACGGTTGTTAAGCTTTTATGTGCTGTGTGTTTTTTTTATAATAGTCTGAAGACTTCATTTCTAGCCAGTTTTTGTAAGAAAAACATCTTCCCTGTCACTATAAAACAGTCATCTCTCAGAAACATTACTGAAGTGAAATCTGGTAATAACTATATTCAGGCAGTTTTGTACAGCTCCACTTTAGGTCCTTAGTCTGTCGTATTATGACTATGGGGGTCATCAAAAGTCAGGAAAATACATATTTAGGGCCCAAATCACGACCCTGCTTCTTCAGGCATGAAACCAGCCCTTTTCAAAATGTTCTGTCCATTCTGTGTAGAGGGAAGCTGGATGAGTTTCCTGAGAAACATTAGGCAGTCCTGCTTGTGAGCTTGTGGATAGAATGAATAAAACAAAGTACAGGATAGGGGAGCCCATTATGTGTTGCTAAGTTTAGACATTGAACCTATATGGAGCCTTGTTGCTACTTGAAGAGATAAACTCTCTCCCTGTGAATCCATTCAGCATGCCACCCAGCTGTCTGTGCTGCAGGCTGGACAGAGAGACTGTCCCTAATTCTCTAGCTTGATTTCAGTGTTTGCACCCCTAGTAGCACCTTTCCACTCATGTCAGATGTCTTATCATGAACAGCCAGTATATTGTTCCATGCTAAAATGAGGTCACAGAACAGAATGGGAAAGACAAACAGCCACCTGCACCCATCAGTGGTGCTCCAGATAGAAGTATTATGAGCATAATAGCCATTAATTGATTGGAACAAACTTTGGAAATAAGCATACTGTAACCCTGTACTAGTAGTGATACTCTAAGGCTTGTTGTCTTTCATCTCTATCTTTCACTGAAATACAGTCTCATAAAAAATAGACCCTGCAAATATTATTCAGTGTTAGCAAGCTCTACAGGATTAAAACAATCAGCTGCCTGAGACCAAATATTCATCTTCAGTATAGCTGTGCAATCCTGTGACTTCCAGAAAAATAACATCTAGGAATAACATCTAGGAAAACTTGTGTGAATTGTGACAAATAAAGAATGATTAATAGAAACCCTTAGGATGTATCCTGAGACTAGACTCAAACCTAACATTTTGTCTAATAGTTAACCTAGTAAGAATAAGGAAATTACTTCCTGGTATTTCCATCTGTGAATTGTACTGCAAGCCACTTTTTTAGTTTTAAATGTATCGAAGGAAACGCAGTAACAAGGGAAAAGAAGTTAAACACAATTTTCCTCTGACTATTATCGTAATGTTAAATGCAAAGTCACCAAAAAACCAAATCATTTGTAAATAACAAAAATTGCAATATCTGTTTGTGTTAAAACTTCTGGGCTTTTTATTTGTTTGTTTCTTTTTTTATCTTTTCTGAGGTAAGAAAATCAGCTTGTTAGCAATAATGGTTCTGGTGGGTGACAGTCTTCACAATTTTGCTGATGGCCTAGTGATAGGAGCAGCATTCTCATCCTCAACAGAAACAGGTGTGACAACGACTGTTGCTATTTTATGCCATGAAATTCCTCATGAAATGGGTAAGAAATATATATATATGTATTTTTCCTGATTGGCTTTGTATTTCCAGGTTTCCCAAAGAGTTCTTTCCTGTATGATATTTGTGGGAATTCTTGCTTATAACATCATGAACTATAACATTAATGTGAAAGACTCCTACTTTCTTTCCCCTTCCCAAAACCCAGGGAAGGCTTCTGCACTCATTATTGGATGCCATCCCATCTCACTTTCTCCAAATGTAAGGGACATCAGGCCAAGGGTGACCTGTTATTCTTATGTGTACAGAGACAAAAAATTATAAGCTGAGAGCAAGAACCATGTGTGCATAATGGACATGCCTTACACAATGGGTATCCAAGACTTTCAATATGCAGCAGTTTCAATATTCCCCATGTTACCCTCCTTCCTGCTGCTAATCAAGAATAATAAGGTACTAAAAGAAAGTATATGACCTATTTTACCAGTGGACAGGACAGGAAGATTGTTCTATTGAATATTGTCCTCAATTAACTTCTTGTGGTAAAACTTTCAGCATAGCTGAAGCTGTTCCTCACATTGTGTTGATGAACACGTATAAACTGGAAAGTTTGAGATGAGAACTGCAGATTCTCATTTCCATCCTTAAATGACTGAAGAATTGATGCACTATGTAGAAAATTTCCCCAAACAAAAAGATGGGATGGGAAATTGCTGTAAAACTGGTGACTCTTGTTTGAATAGCAGAGAAAATTTAAATACTCAACGGTGACCTCCAAAGACAGACCCTCTTAATTCCAGGGCAGTAATGCCCTAGTGTCAGTGGCATTTTTACAGTCACAGAGTAGAATTTTTAAAATCTTCTTCTGTGGGCCTGTTATGAAATCTCGAACTGGAATCAAACTGGCATAGGTTACTCTGACTTGTAACACCTGTAAAACACTCAAACATCATCCTGCAAATATACCCACATGTTTGGAACTGGCAAGTTTCCAGTGGAGAAAGATTTAGAAACTCTGGGAAAACATGTGACTTCACTTTTGCTTGTATCCAAGTTGGAAATGTCATGGAACATTGAGAACTAACAGTAAGCTGCTCCTGTATACTGTATGCTATCTTTAGGAACAGCTAAACAAATAAAGTAAATATTACTTTTTTTTGTTTTGAGGTTTTGGGTATTTTTTTCATATGAGATGAGTTAAATTCTACAGAAAGCTAAAGGCAGCCCTATGCCATTCACTATCTTTGTGCATGTCTGAATTATTTTTCTTCATGTTTTATTACCAATAGTCTTCCAAATACATTTATCAGCTAAATAATAAATTTTCTGTCTTTTTCTCTATGCAGGAGATTTTGCTGTGCTGCTAAGTACAGGGCTCCCCACGAAGATTGCAATTCTGATGAATTTTATAAGTGCACTGACAGCATTCTTAGGACTTTATATTGGCCTTTCTCTATCAACTGACCCATCCATTCAAAACTGGATTTTTACTGTTACAGCTGGAATGTTCTTGTATTTATCTTTAGCAGAAATGGTGAGAACTTCAGTCTATGGGTATATTTTCCTTTCAGCTTAGCCACACATCATAGATGAGTGTCAGACAAATGCAGGTGGATGAACTTGGAGAGAAAAAGAGTTTATAGGCTTGTTGGGAAGAGCATGTCATCTGCCCTGTGCATGTACAGTACTTAGAACAACAATCTGGTTTTGTTTCATGTCCTTCTCATGCTAGGTGTCATTAGTAATGAAAAGGTGAAATAAAGGCCACTAGGAGGCTAATATATGAGAAAGGCATAAAGGACTTTTAAAGGGGGAAAGGTAAACAATATATTTTTAGTTACTTAGTAAAACTTAAACATTTGAACCTGCAGGGTTTTTTAAAATCCTGAAGAAGCTGGTTACTTTTTTGTGCCCTTTTCTTTATATAATTTTCATCCATTGTTGCAATACGAATTTGCTGTTTCTGAACTAAAATGCAAAGATGCTTATCCCACACTCTTCCTTTCTGTCTTAGTTTTGGCTGAGCTCCTAAGTGATTCATAAGCCATCACATTGCCCTAACGTTTTTGTATTTGCCCAATATTTTTCATAGTCCCAGTTCAATAGCAATGATCTGACTATAGAAAAATAAAGTGTGAAGATATGCAGTAGGAGAAAGGTCTAAGGACTGTACAAAGATGTGAAAGTACCCTAGCTCATGCAGATGCCTCAGGCCCCATCATTTATTGAAGAGATGGCTAACTGTTACACTTGTAGCAACGCAGAACTTGATTGCCTTCCCAGCTTTGTCACATGATCTTTCACTCTCATGTGTTGTTGTAAACTTGCCTACAAGCTCCTGAACAGAGATGGAATATTTTGAGTGATTAGATGAAGAGGGAGAAAAAAAAATGTCACTTCATAAATTATTACTGTGTTTTCCCCAAGCCTGGCTGTCTCTCAGCTGTGTTCACTACTACCCCCCACCTTATGCCTGAGACATTAGTTACCAGGTTCAAGCATAATACTTTAAACCTGATTCCAGTATTAAAACCTATTTAAAATCCTGCTTATAATAATTGACCTCAGACCTTGGTAGTATTTATCCTATTTTTGCTATTGTAACTAAAGTGAACATAAAGTGCTCCTAAGAGCTTAAGAGGGAACTGCCTCAGGATTGTGGATGTGTCAACAGTCTTGACTGAGGTGGTAAATAACAGACAAGAACACTGTGTACCAAGCTGCAGCTTGTTCTGAGACTGCAAAATTTGGAAATGAGGCTGCCTACCTACTGAGTAGGCATGGTTTTACTAATAGGCTAAGAATGATATAGACATAATTTGCAATCAATGTAGGATCAGCATTCATCAGGGATCCACAAACTTCTAGAACAATACCATGTTTTTCCCTGAGTCTTCAAAGCACTGTGCCAGCTGTAAATCCCAAGAGATAATACAGTTCCAGGCAGAGACAGGGACATGTTTTCCCTTGTTCTCAGCTTGTCATTGTGATCTTGGTCTTGATGTGGAGAAAGAAGAGAGAGAGGAGGATCTTATTTCTCTCAATACCTTTTATAAATAGGCTCTATATATTCTCTGTATCTCTGTATCTATTTCTCTGTATATTCTCTGGTTTGCTCATCTATGTTTGTCAGAAGTGTCAAATATCCCAGGGATTATTTTATTTTAAAAAATTATTCATGTAGCACTAAGGGAATCTATAGATCTGAAAAGTTTTGTATGTTTGTATAGTACATGTCAAGAAAATGAGCCATTCTTTATGTATTTTTCAACTTTCTGCTCAGAAGTAGCTTCTATTCTCTGCTGCATTTTCATCTACAAACAGCAATCAGTGTTCCTGCCAATGGTGTACAAACACTTAATGGAATACAAAGCTTGACTGTAATTTTCGGTACTTGTTTCATGGGCTTTCACATATTCATGTGCTTGTCAGAGCAGCAGTTCAGTAAAACTGAACAACCTCACTGGTTTCTGCATTGAGGAACATTGAGGGGTATGAGTGGAGGTTTATTGACAGAACAGCACTGTGAAACAGTTGCCGCAGTCAAGTTAGCACTAAACTATTTCTGTGGTTGATTAAAGGTTTTTCATTTTGACAAATGACATTCTAGCTCCTTTAGCAAGCAGGGTAGACTAATCATTTTAGAAACTGAAAAAAGTCAAAAGATAAAATCATTTATATCCTTCATCATTTTTCACCAAGAAATTATGCAAAACGGATGTTTGCTCTGACTAATCTTACAAATATTTTTGATTTTGAAAATAAAGGAGAAGTGTTTAAAGTGATTTACTTGGCTGTTGCAGTCCAACAGTCATGCCATATATACCCCAGCTTGGTAGAACTCCTTTTTAACCAGTACATGGCCTCTCATGCCTCCTTTCAGCATGCTGCTTCCTATTTCTTCTTATCTTTTGTGTGGTCATGATAACATGAACTGGAGTGAGAATAGAGTAGTCCCTTGATGTGGTGCTACATTCCCTCAATTTTTGAAGTGGTTTGCATCTGCTGGTTGAATAGGCTTATGCTTCCTAAACGAGATTCACTCTGTTGTACCGCACACTTTGTTGTTCAGAGAGAATTGGGGAACCATAGCTGATATTGTGACAGCAATCAGCTTTTATTTTTACAGATAAGCAGGGATGTCACACTAGATATGGTTACAGAAATGGTCTGTGTGTTGATAATACGCACAGAGGTTAGATGGAGGGAGCAGACACCAGCACTGGACATGGGAAGGGCATTACCTGATGAGAATTCTTTTTAAAAACTCTCTTAGAAACTTAATGTGTATAACTCAGAAATTGTCACTGACAGCAATAAGAGAAAAGACTAAATTTTGCAGCAGGAGGAGGAAAAGTTTCCAGTTTGGAGAACTTGTTCACTCAGGCAGTGGAGAAGAGGACAAAATAGACTGATTATAAGGATAAATAAGAAAGACTGAATGTCTAGACTGGAACTCTGAATTCAGGTTTCGGTCCTAATTAACAGTTTTTGCTTAAATACACAACAAAACCCATGTGTTCTGGGCATTTACAAAATGTCAGTTCAGATTTTGATTTACATCCAGAACTTTGAAGTGTTTGCACTTGCTTTGGGTTAAAAGTTTCCAATTATCTTTAAATACAGATCAAGTATAACTACATGAGTTTCTGTACCATAAACTCATAAACCAACCACTGCCTAGTTGTAGTGAAGATCCAGGGCGTTTGGGTTTGCCTGTTATTTTCAAACAAAACTTTAAAGGGGAGGCTGATTTTCCATTACAGTTTTCTTTTGGGCCCATGACAACTTCCAGAGAAAGAAGAGTGCAAAAGAAGCAGCCTCTGAGACCCGTCTCTCTGACCAGAGGGAATGATAAGCATAGCAAACACTCCTGTTAGCCTCCTTGATCAGCACCACTCCACTGTCTCCCAGTGGCTGCTGCTGTTACAGCTACTGTGAAGAGGTTCCAAAGAGCAGAGGAACTCAGTAGCTTTGTTCAAGTGCAGGCTGCGAGTGGAGCAGACAAAAAATCCCAACCAAACCCAGAGGTCAGCACCAGACCATTGCTTTATATTTATTTCCTGAGTTGATGTGAAAGTATTAGCAGTCATTACTGTTTCCCCTGGTGTCTATAAGATATAAAGCAAAAATATTAAGAGAATTTGAGCCTGAGGCATCATTTTCACAGGCTCTGTTTAGACATACATTTAGTTTAAAACTTTGATAAAAGAGACCATGTAGAGTGGAAGGTTTTTAGAGTGAGGTAGTTTTTAGTATGATTATATGATTTAAAACTCACAGAGAAAAATATTAAACACTTTTTTTTCAAGCATATTTAAAAAATCCTCTTTTCCTCTTGTGCATTTACTAAAGCCCAAGTAAATAGGAGTGTTGCCAGTTATTTCAGAAAGAGCATGATTGACCCTATATTTAGAACTCAAACAAAAAATACTCCAACTAATTTATTCCCACAAAAGGGAATCACTAATTTTACTAAATAAGCATTTCCTTGCAGATAGCTATATGAAATTGCTACAAACTATTGAGAGGCTAACAAATTTCAGAATCTCATTTATAATTCTTGTCAGTAAAAGAACCAAAATGAGTATTCGGTTAATGCCCATATATTTGGTTAATTTAAATATTTCACTGTAAAGATCAGCTTTGTTACAATGTACAGAAAATGCTGCACATTAATAACTACATTCAGAAGCTCAGCATTTTGAAAAGTTTTTGTTTTTTTAAATGAAGTTTGCCTTGTTTTCCCATAACTTTTTTTCCCACAGATGAATGTATCTGGCTCTCATTCTGGTGTCTTATTCTTTTTTTAGCTTCCTGAAATGACTCATATTCAGACGCGGCGACCCTGGTTGATGTTTCTCCTACAGAACTTTGGATTACTATTAGGCTGGCTTTGCCTCTTACTTTTGGCTATTTATGAACAGAAAATTAAAATATAAGTTTTCTGTTGGAAATCTTGAAGTACCACTTATGACAGTGGATAGATTTATTCATAATTTTATCATATCTGCTATAGTGATATATAAATTAAGTTGCTGGGATTTTATATCTGAAGAGTAGATAACTATTTTACTTTATTAACTTATTGTTCAGATTTTGTAATTATTTTTTTTTTTGTGAACATGAATGTTTAGAATTATGTTTTATTTGTTACTGAGTTTACCAGATCCCATGCTCAAACTCACAGGAGCTTTTGATTAGTTTTTATTGAGACCATTCTAGTTGAATGCTCTAAATGATCTTTGCCAGTCTGATTTGAAGAAAAGAATAAAACACTTTTATATACAATAATTAAAGTGGACTAACCATAGTTGAATATTTTGGATAAGAAATGGTTTTTTGCCTCTTAGTACAAAAAATTAAAGTATTTCTATAAATCTAAAAAGCATAGGGAAACTAGACTGCTAAATGGCATGTACCAGTCTCATAATATCTGCACTGTCTACTTCGTCAACATAAAGATCCTCAGCAGTAATATCTTACTGGTCCACCGTGGCAGGAAAAAAATGACAAGTGTAAAAGTTTATGATGTAGAAATCTTTTCAAACTGCAATACAGTTGTGATGGAATCTATGACAGTTAAGCACTGACCTAACTCCGCTTTTGCATTATCTCACCCCTGATGATTGCTCAAAGCAAATGCTTATGAAGGATTATAAGAAATATGTTTAATTGTTTTTCACTGATATCCCTTCCAAGCTCCTCAAATGAAGGAATTCCTTGAGCCAAATGTTGCTTCTGAGACATTGCATTTAATAAACACCAGTAGTGCCTTCCTGTCAGCAATTAGCTTATTCATACATATGCAATGTGCATTCTGGAAAGAGCTTTTCCAATTGGCTTAAGTGCATGTGGCCTCACTGCAACTCCTCCAATCATGAGTGATTTTTGTGTAATTAGTCCTCTTGATTTCAAGGAAATTCTGCATAAGTTGAGATGATTCATTTAATTTAGTATGCAAGAATCAAGTCTGAAACAAATATACAAAATCTGCCCTGATTCTGAGGTGCTGAGAAACTACCAGGATGTACTGAGCAGCACTCTGCTGTGTGATTTCAGGTATTTACATGCTATCAAATTCTGATTTGAGGACTTCTTCCCTACCTAGTTTACACTTTTGTATGTTGTGTTCTTTCTTTCTTCTTTGATGAGTTGTGGAAATAGGGAGAGCAAGTTACAGAAAAAAACATATTCTTTATGCAGCAACTGGAAATTTTCTTTTCCTTGTTTAAGTCAAGCTTGAAATATGGCTACATCATGACACAAAATAACTTTCTCACAATGTGTCCTGTGTTTATTTGATAGCTCCTAGTGAAGGTACAATTATTCTCATATTATAGGTGGGAACAGTCTACACTCCTATAGTAAACTGTCAGACCTGTCAGTTCTCAAAATCTTCATAGGCATCAAACTTACTTATCCAAAAAATATAAAGTGAAAACACAGCACCAAGCCTGTCTGAGTTCAAGAGGCGTTTGGACAATGGTCTCAGGCACATGGTGTGATTCTTGGGGTGTCCTGCACAAGGCCAGGAGTTGGACTCGATGATTCTGATGAGTCCCTTCCAACTCGGAATATTCTATGATTCAATGATAGCCCACATTCATGATGATCCTAATAACTCACAGACTAACCATTAGGAAAAAACCACTTAAAGATCAATTTAAAGGCAGATTTTCAGTGCTTGTTAGTTATGAAAATCTGCAGGAAATACTCCAATGTGCATCTAAATGTAGACATTTACGTGCCTTCAGAAACCTTGTCCCAAGGAATTTACTCCCAGTCACACAGGAAGTCTCTATCTGATTAGGGGAATGAACTGAGCTATTTTTAAGCTCCAAAGTAAAATCCTAGGTTTTTTTTTTATATAGGTGTGCAAGTATTTTGACTGCTTTTTCTGTTGATGTAACTTTAAAAGGTGAGCTGAGAAGCCATGACTGATGCTTATCTTTTCAAAGTTTACATTTTTTTCAGGCAATTGGGCTTCCTTTTAGCAAGGTAAGATTTTTAAAAAGTGGTTTCCCAGTATTTCATCTGCTTTTATTGGCACCGAGTCACTCCATGACCTTCAGCTGTGATAGTCAATTCAAGCAATAGCAGGGCATCACTGGACGTAAGCAAAATCTATTCTCGTATCAGATGGTGTGAATGAATATTGGAAACATTTGTTATTTCAAAGAGAAGAGCTACCATAGTTTGAATGTTTATGTAGGCCTAATGTTCACTACCACAGAAAACAAGATTACCAATACGAGCATGTTTTGATAATATTATATTCTGAAATATTTTTCTACTATTTATTAATATGTCTGAAATAGGGAAAGTAATTTCTGGCAGTGTGTACTTTAAAGTTGCATATCAGCATAGGTTCACATCCTGACATGATCTGTGAACATATTGTATCCACATCTGTTCAGAAAATGCCATCTTTTGTCTATATGTATTTTTCAGGTAGCTTGGTCACATTAACAACCAAATATATTTATACAGCTCCCGCCACAGGCACAGATATGTTGATCAGAATGCCAGTTAGTCCTTATTTCTGCAACAGAGCTCTTATGCTTCTGTGGTGTTTGTCAGTAAGTGAGCAGTTCAGTCATTATTTTGCTCTGATGTCAAATCCAAACACCTGAAGTCTCATTAGTTTATGGAAGTTTGAAATCCTGTGGCACTTGTGAGAGAACTTATCTCACTACTTACAGTTAGTGCCTCTACTGTAAATCTCTTTACATTGGTGTCTTTAAAAAGATACTGAAGGTAAAAAAAGGCTAGAATGTATGTTAGGAACAATATGTCATACAGAGGGCTGGAAACTCTTCCTAGAGATCACTAAAATAGAAAAGTAAATAAGTTTAAAACCAAAGAGATCCACTTGCAGAATTCATCTTTTCAGTCAATGTTCTTTAAAAATTCCAAGAAAAATAATAGAATATGTTTTTGTGTCCTTACAAAAGGGAAGATTGTGCACAAGTGTTCTTATTATGCATTCTCTTTCAGTTTAAGTTCTGTAGAGTTTGTTCATACAGATTTGAAACAGAACTGTTTTAAAGCAAGTTAAATTTCTTTCTGTTCCTTCAAACCTAACTGACAGTGAGCATAATATGCCAGTGTTTTCACTGAGTCAAATCCTGAGTAAGGACTACAGAACTTCATCACTTGCAGACCTTAAATCATGACTAGGTATCTCTCTAAGAGGTATGCAATTACTCAAACAGATGTAGAGATGGAGAGATTACTCGGTGTGGTTTTACAGCCTCTCAGGCAGTTCTGACTAGATAATCACAATGTTCCTTTGAAACCCTAAAATACATGAATCTGTAGATATAGGAATTTTTCTGGAAGAAGCTGGTTAGCATGTCTCCCTTTCATCTATTCTTAGTTTTCAGGAACTCTCAAGATGAAAAATATAGAAAATATCTTGCTTTCCTACACAGAAAATTAGAGAGAAAAGGAAAGGTTGACAAAATTCGTTTGCCACAGTATTTTTTCCTGGAAGTTAAGTGGCAGAAGGCCTCATAAAAAATATTTCCAATTCCAAACTACCATCACTTCTAAGCATGAGAGCTGACCTTGTACCTCTCTTTTCTGTATATGTTACACATTACCCAGTGACTCCTAAGATAAATAATATCTTCTTTGCAGCCAGCTATGCTAATGCCTTCTGGAGCTCATCTGCATGTTTTAAATACTGCTGTCTATTCCTTTACTCTATTTTATGCTTTAAACATGAATGTGGCATTTCTCTGGAGAAAAAAATACCTCTTTCATTTAAGAAAAATATTTTTCTTATTTATATTTGGATTGGTTTTCTATCACCATGCATTGCATTTGAGAAAGCTCATTATCATTGTAACAATTTTTAGCCTGCAGCTGGAAACCAAAACCAGGTTTATAGCTGTCTGAAGTATGGATTAGGGCTAATAATTTTATAATAAGGGCATATTTTATCAATGTTGTTAGTTTTCTTTCTTAATTGCAACCTTTTGTCAAGTCTTCCTCTCATTTTGAAAATAAGCTGCCTTCTATTGTGAGTGTAGCTGTAGGAATGTGACTACAGAAAATACAAGCAGTTGTTACACAATAGCTTTAATCAAAACAAAAAGTCCTGCAATTTATTTTACTAGACCCACCTACATTCCTTTCTCCCCAAAAGAACAAAAAAATCCACACATAGAACTTTTGCTTTGGGTCACGTAGGGGAATGTAAGAAGTGCCTCCTTCCTTTTATGTCCCTGATAACAGGACCAAGCACAATGGGAGACCCTGCCTAGACATCTGGATGCATTGAAATCACTGCCAAGCTTCCGTCAGCGGAGAACAGCATCCTGGTGCAGGAATCTAGAGGGCTGGTGCTGCTTCTCCTTGCAGAGGTGACAGGAAACAGAGCAGACAGGGGGAATCTAGAGGGGGGCGTCTCAGCGTGGCACTTCAGCAGTTGCAGCAGGATGATCAAAGGCTTTATAGCTGTCTCTGTAGGACCCTGCAACAGCTCACTTCAGGGCAAATTCTCAGATGGTTCATGTTGTCTTGGCTATGGATATAAAAGATACCATGGAAGCAGTCTGACCGATACCCCTCTGAGTGCAGGCTCTAGCAGTGCAATAATCCACAGGACCCCAGCAGCCAGGGTGACCCAAGGGATTCCCAGGGTGCTCCAACTCCACATTACAGCTGCAGGGCACCTAAAGGGAGCGTGTCTAGGCAGTCTCTCTGCCCCAGGGTCTCAACTCTGACATTGCCAGAGAGCATCAAACACAGGACTACCTGTCACCCTAAGTGCACCTAGCAACCATTTACATACTGGCCCAAGATAATGCCAACCAACTGCTAATGCAGTGCTATAGATGTCTCTACATGAGACATAATTTTGTACCACTGTAGCTGGCTGGGGAACCCTCTCTCATCCTTTTCCCGGGGGTCAGCAGGACCTAATTTGACCTGTTCCAGAGGG